GGTTATTTCTAAAAGAACCTTTACAAAAAATCAGTGAATTTTCTAGGAGAATTAAATAACACATTTTCATTCTCACTCTTACATAAAATTATATTTTATGTAAATGCCCCAATCATTTTAACCACAACTAAAATTTTTATTTCAAAATTACAATACAAGAAACAACACAGCATGGCAACATCCAAGACAATACATGGGCATAAGATCTGAACCATTATGACATTAAGATAAGACTAAGTGAGAGCGCCCACCAAAGTGGCGTGGCAGTGGCAAGTAGCACGCATCTAGCATGTTATTTTTAAATGTAACCAATGAAAAAAAATTATTAGAATGAATGACGTCACTATCATTTTGGTGAGCGCTGAATCATTCGTTTTCATTGGTTGCATTATGCTAGACGCGTGCTACTTGCTACTTGCCACTGCCACGCCACTTTGGTGGGTGCTCTCCCTTAATGTTATTGTCACATTCATAAGAATTATGAATCTGTTATCTGAGGCTAATCGGCATTTTTTTAAACTAGTTAGTCCATCCATTCACAAAATAATAAATATATGTTCTAATTTATTCATTCATTATTTTATTCTTTAGAAGTTGAGACATAATTTATAATGCAAATCGTTCGCAGTGAACTAGTTCTATGAAAATTAATGAACTAGTTCAATTAGTTCAGTTGAAAGAATCATTCATTAGAACTATTTCGATGGTGAACTACACATCCCTAATCCGTTGTTTACTGCTATTTGCTTGATGATATTTAATTCTGTCTCCAAGTTGTATTTTGACATCGGAATTTCTGTTAATCTATGTAACATACTATGATAGGCTGCCTGTTTATGTTGTGTTGGATGGGAAGATGAATTGGGTATAGTCGTGTCAGTATGGGTAGGTTTATGAAATATGGAGAAGTCATGTTTGTTTTTAAGTCTGATAATTTTTAAATTTAAAAAATTTATGGATTGATTTTGTTCTGTTTCTATTGTAAATTCAATATGACTGAAGTAAATTAATATACGATAAAAATTGATCGAGTTGCCTGTTAATTTCTGTGAAACATACCAGTACGTCGTCTACGTATCTCCACCAATATAAAAACTGTTTATATACGGGATGTTTTAAAATCTTTGTCTCTAGATGATCCATAAAAATATCTGTGGCAATGGGCTTAGAGGATTGCCCATTAAAGTCCTACACTGTTATTTGTATATATTTGATTATTAAAATCAAAGTAGTCCTGGTTTATGCAAACTTCAAGAAGATGTAAAATTTCAGATGTAATTATTGGATTTGTACTATTTTGGTCTAAAAGGTTTTTTACTAGAATAAAAGTTTCTGTAGGAGGGATACTAGGAAAAATTTTTACGTCAAATTTTTACATTTATTACCTAACAACTCCAGATTAATTTCATTTCATGTAAAAAATCTTTTTCCTAGTATTCCTCCTACAGAAACTTTTATTCTAGTAAAAAACCTTTTAGACCAAAACAGTACAAAGCCAATAATTACATCTGAAATTTTACATCTTCTTGAAGTTTGCATAAACCAGGACTACTTTGATTTTAATAATCAAATATATGCAAATAACAGTGCAGGACTTATAATAGGCAATCCTCTAAGCCCATTGCTATCAGATATTTTTATGGATCATCTAGAGACAAAGATTTCAAAACATCCCGTATTTAAACAGTTTATATATTGGTGGAGATACGTAGACGACGTACTGGTATGTTTCACAGGAACTAACAGGCAACTCGATCAATTTTTATCGTATATTAATTCACTTCGGTCATATTGAATTTACAATAGAAACAGAACAAAATCAAACAATAAATTTTTTAGATTTAAAAATTATCAGACTTAAAAAAAACACACATGACTTCTCCATATTTCATAAACCTACCCATACTGACACGACTATACACAATTCATCATCCCATCCAACACAACATAAACTGGTAGCATATAACAGTATGATACATCGATTAACAGAAATTCCGATGTCAAAATACAACTTTGAGACATAAATAAATATCATTAAGCAAATAGCTAATGACGATATTTCAAAACTCTTCAATTTTGAATCAAACTTGAACCTCTTCAATTTTTTAGTTTTGCGTCTTTATCGTTACAAAAAATATCAAGGTGATCTTTCATTCACAAATGACTACACAAATCACATATTTGCTTTAGTGTAGTTCCCTATTACATGGCCAAACTTCGAGCCTCATAGATTTTAGTTAGCTCGTTGTAACCGCTTATTAGTCTTGTACTTACTACAACGGTATCAAAGAGGATAGGGTTTAATATGTCAAAAAAAAGGTAATTTTTTCTTCTCGGTATGTCTGCGCATTTCAATTAGTAATATAGAACATTCCCTTATTTTATTAGAGCAAGCGACCAAAATTTGAGCGCGCTTATGTTTCTGTGGTTGAAAATTTCTGTGGTTGGAAAACTTTTGTTTAATTTATTTTCATATTGTTTATGTTAAAAGTTGTATTACAACATTGAGTTTATTAATTTTAAATTTAGATACTTTTCGCAATAAAGATGTTTCAAACAAATGACCACATTTACTGTGAGGCACTGTAACTCGTTAGCAAGTTCCAATAAAATCCTCCCTCCTGTTCGGGGTACCTTGGCCATAACATCATTGTTTGATTTACTGAAGACAATAAGGTAATACTAATTGAAATTATAATCTTAATTACCATTAGATATTTTTAAACTTACCTTTTTAATCCTGTCAGTTCTGACATATTTATAAAAGTATTTAAATAGGTAAACTGTGTAATGTGTATAATCACACTATATTGAAAAATGAGACACAGTTCGACCAGCTTGTTAATCGCCGAAAAAAAGTCATAGAACTCGGGAAACCACCGGACGAAAGCGATTACGCATTAATAATATTTATCAATACCAACACTATTAAAGAATAACAGATAAAATAAAACACAACAAAACGTTGCGAAGATTATAAAGAAAAACCTAACGACTGTACAATACATAATAAAAAGACGAAAAGAAAGAGTCCAAATAAATTTCAAACTAGAAATACGAAAAAGTATGAATCATAATATGTCGCGATCACTATAATAACACGATAAATTTGGCAACATCTACAGAGGCGGAACCGCACTTGCAACATCATATAAAATATACAAATGAGACCAAAGAGTACGTTCAGTGTATGGAGGCAAACAAGAACTACACAAATAAAATAACTGTATAAAACTAGGTTAATAAATATTTACCCCTCTTTCTTTGCCTTTATAATATACATCAAAATAAGGTTAATGATGTATTATATGTGCATATACTACCCCTACTTTTGGTGGAGTGATGGACGTCTGTTGTACGTACGGAGGCAAAAACGATACAAATGCACATATATATATATATATATACTGGATATTCGGATATTCGTGACTGTCAATTTAAACAAACAACAAAGTTTATTGGGGCTGCAGTCAGTTCTGACTGCAGCCCCAATAAACTTTGTTGTTTATATATATATATATATATATATATATATATATATATATATATATATATATATAAGGATCACTCAGACGAGTGGTGGGTTCTTATATCGGTCTCTAGGTGGAGAAATAAAAGACAAAGTTGATAGGCTACTTTATCTATTTTGAAGACGTTTCGCTTTCGAGTTTTGAAAGCATCATCAGTTCATCTAAAAAATTATTACAATATGAGAACCACACAATCATGGAAACGATGTTAATTGTTACCTTAAAAAGATATGTAGCAGTCAATGTTATTAACAAATATGTGAATGAAACTAAGTAAATGGACATAGTACGCTGATCTTGTATAAACAGTTAAGCAACTAACAACATATATGAACTTGTACAAAAATTAGCACAGCAATTGACCATGTGGTCCAAAAAATTCAATGTTATTTATATTAATAAGTGAGAAAGAACCAAGAAAATCATAAATAACCTCCAACTATTTAATGGATATTAAACTTTGATTTTAACTTTAGGTAGCATTATAAGTAATATTAATAATATATACTTATAATGCTACCTAAAGTTAAAATCAAAGTTTAATATCCATTAAATAGTTGGAGGTTATTTATGATTTTCTTGGTTCTTTCTCACTTATTAATATAAATAACATTGAATTTTTTGGACCACATGGTCAATTGCTGTGCTAATTTTTGTACAAGTTCATATATGTTGTTAGTTGCTTAACTGTTTATACAAGATCAGCGTACTATGTCCATTTACTTAGTTTCATTCACATATTTGTTAATAACATTGACTGCTACATATCTTTTTAAGGTAACAATTAACATCGTTTCCATGATTGTGTGGTTCTCATATTGTAATAATTTTTTAGATGAACTGATGATGCTTTCAAAACTCGAAAGCGAAACGTCTTCAAAATAGATAAAGTAGCCTATCAACTTTGTCTTTTATTTCTCCACCTAGAGACCGATATAAGAACCCACCACTCGTCTGAGTGATCCTTATATATATATTGGATTGACGGTCGTACTCCTTTTTCCGTATATATATATATATATATATATATATATATATATATATATATATATATTGTGCTATGTGTTCTGAAAATGTGTGTTATGAAAATCATTCATCTATGTTGGTCTAATTGAATCTCGAATGAAAATTTATTGAACCAAACCAACCAAGAAAATATAATAAAGCAAAGAAAATGTTCACACTCTGTTTATCCCAGATGACATTGCCATTACAGCACTGGATTGGAATCCTCAAGGCTGATGGAAAGTAGATAAAACCTAAAAAACTTTCAAAAGGACAAAGATGTCTGGAAAGATTAAGGGGAAAAAAGAGGAAATTCCTGGCTTGAAATTAAATCACTAGCAAGAAATAGAGCTTGCTGGAGACACTTTCTCGAACTCCTATGTTCCTCTTAAGAATCTCAAAATATATATTTTAAATAAAATTATTTTATTTTTGACATTCTTAAAGATTCAACCTTTTTTTTAGCTTAAAGGAACAATCTGGAATTGACTTCAAAGAAATGATATTCTTTGATGATGAATTACGCAACATCCATGACATCAGTGCACTTGGAGTAGTGTCTGTTTTTGTAAAAAAAGGTGTAGACAAGTCAGTGATAGAAGAAGGAAAGCAGCAGTTTGCTTCAGGCGTAAAAAAGTCTATAAGATAGATGAATAATGTGATATTGATATAATAAAGTATAAATGTAGAAAAAGATTAAAGAATTTTTGTAGATTTTCTTTTTTTAGTTATGTTTAATTCTTTAAATTCTTGATTTATATAAGCCTATAGGTACTTTGTTTCCAAAAATTTGATGATCATTTAAAAAATAACTCAATTTAAGTTATCTACCAGTTGTAATTAATAAAAAATTCAGTGTTCAGTCTCTATTTAAAATATGATTGATAGTTTATATCCTACCAACATTGCTCTCACATATTATTACTCATCTGGATTCCCTTTCTACTGCTTATAATCTCAAGAATTGTATATTCATGTTTTAATAAGTGATTAAATAATAAAATAGCTGTGATTATACAGGCCGACAGGGATGCCGTGAAATGGGCGGAGCTTGCACTGCGCAGAGTGAGAAAGTTTAAAATCAAAAAATGATGCACATACCCGAACATTTACGCGTGAATTCACGTTGAATAATCACTGGCTAGATCTTAAAATGTTTGCAATGTTGTCAAGATGTGGATGATCACAGTAATATTGGAAATTTTTAGTATCGTACTACCTAACAAAATGATATTGTTCGGAAGCTATTTGCTTGTGGTAGATTATGCAATTTACTATTTTATTTGGCAGTAAGCCACAATTTAAGTTTAAAATTAAATTTATTTGAGGACTTCCATTGTTTTTGTTGCTTGGTAAAAAAATTCTTCTAATAATTTAACTTATCTGACTCATTCATATTAAAAATTCAGCCATATATTATATCAACATTTTAAAGTATATGACTTTATTGATATAGCCAATAATTCAAATTTATTTATTTAGGTATTTACCAAACAGTAGTAATTATGATGTCATTACAATACAGTTAAGATACTTTCACTTTAAAAGACCCTACTTGGAAAACTTAATTACTTGTAAGTATTTAACCATTCAAAGTAAATATTTATATAGGGCGATAATTATATGATTCATTCATTATATTAACAGTAAGTCATTACAATTCAATTAAAAGACTTTCACTTTAAAAGATTGTACTTGGAAAACTTCATTATTGGTAAGTATTTAACAGATTAAAATAAATGTGTATTTGAATAAGACAATAATTATATGATTCAAACTTATGTATTAACAGTAATACATTCGAAAAAATATTTTTTTTAATATAAAAAGTATAATATTATTTAAAATATTACTGAAAATTGTGAAACAATAATAGCATTAAAACAGATTTTTTTACTCATGTGGGTTAAAGATCCTCGGTATCCGATTCTTCATCATCGGATAAATCCCATTCCGAATCACTGTCTCTTAAAGTGATGACAAACTTTTCCATATTATTTTCAATGGTTGCCTGTTGAAGCAAAAATTCTTGTTCGCATTTTTTTGCATGATTGCATCGGCTTTGCCACTCAGTAGGAGGGAAAGTTGCAAAGAATTGTTCGCATAACTCCTTTACATTATTTATATTAAATGAAACATTTTTGGATGCTACATGTGACTTTAAACTGGCCCAGACCAGCTCAATTGGATTAAGATCTGGATGATATGGAGGTAATCTTAAAACGCTGTGTCCATGTTTTATTGCAATCTCGTCTATTGCATGACCGACATATGCTGGTTTATGCAGTTTTAAGGTCGATTCAGACACATCAGTCCCGTCATAGTCTCGGCGCCGAACCGGTCCTGTTTGGTCACAGAACTATCAACTATCTGACAGCTGGGAAACTGTTTGTCAACTGATGAGTGTGAATGCCGGCAACATATTTGCAATTGTATTAAAGAATATTTTGTATGACGGATTGTTCGGTTCGGCGCAATCACTGTGACGAGACGTGACTGATGTGTCTGAATCGACCTTAACTAAATCGTATAGTTCCGCCTTTAGCATACAATTGTTTATTGAAATATTTCTGGCCTCTAACCATTTCTTTATCAATTCCTTTGTTGATGCTGATGTTGGTGCCTTGTCAATTTGTTTGTTGTGATAAGGTGCATTATCTATCACTACAACACTTCGTGGAGGAAGATTGGGTATTAGTTTGTTTTCGAACCACTTACAATAATTTTCAAATGACATATCGTCGTGATAGTCGCCTGTTTTAGTACCTTCCATGGACGTATAAACAAAGAATATTAAGCGTCTATATTCTTTGATATGTGTATTAAAGAATAATTTGTATCACGATTGTTCGGGTCGGCGCAATCACTGTGACGAGACGTGTCTGAATCGACCTTAACACGGACGAAATCAATGTTCAATACAATTTGTATCAGCTGGACGGTAAAAATTCGATATCTTTTATCTAAATGTCCTATCGACAAAAATCAAGATGCGTTTTAAAGATAAAGAGTTTTTGTGTTTAGTCGCAAATAAACTCAGATTTTTTACAGGTGTTAAATAAACACAAAAACGAAATGTGGCACTCCGGGAGTGACCGAGAAGGGGAGGCACGGAGCGATGGTTTTTAATTTATTTGATTCCAATCGATATTTGATACAATCGATTCTAGTCAATTTGATTAGATCTCAATTGGTTCGGTTTTATTTTATTTTGTTTTCCTTTTATTTTATTAATGAACACGCATGGGACTGAGTTTACGACTGCACGTAGTGTATATAAAAAAAAAGAATTACAATAATTGTCTAATCTAAAAAGAAGTGAAGGTCAATAACTAATCCTAGCCTAACCTCAACTAACACTTTATCTAGCATCTTTAGTTTTAGTTATGTGTTATAAATGTTTGTGGTTTGATTTAAATAAATTGGGATTTATAAATAGTTACTTAGATTTTACATTGGCCATGGTTTTGTAACTAAATAAAATTAGCATGGCTTCAAAAAATTTAAAAATGATTGTTTTTGACTTAGGTATATCTATTCAATATAAAGCAAATAATTTGAATCAGCTGTAAATATTCTTATATTATTTTAGATCGTACACTATGGCAAGTGAGGGTGGATAAGGAGGTAACACCTCCTTTTAAAAGGAAGTAAGAAGCCCCAATATTTCTAATTTACCAAATCATCTTATTTACATACTATTTCTAAATAAATATTTTATTACAGTTCCAATGGTGTGGTGGTAGACAGCTGTAATTATGCAATAGACTACTACCCCCAAGTGCCACAAATTTTGCAAAAACTCTATGATGAAGAATATACTTTGGGAGTGGCTTCAAGAATTTCTGAAACTAAAGGTGCTAGGCAATTGCTTAAGCTGTTTGAATGGGATAAGTATTTTTCTTATCTTGAAATATTTCCAGGAAAGAAGACAAAACATTTTAATAAGTATGAATTGCTGTTTAACATTTTCATATTTAATATATTTTTTAACTGTTTCACATACCAACTATATAATTATAAGATATTTCTTATTCAATTTAGCAATTTTATCCAGTTCATATTTCATTTTCATTCACAACTTAAACTGTTATTTTTATGGATACTATAACTTCCTTACCTGTTTATGGATAAGATCTAGTTACTTAATATATTTACGCAACAGAGCTTGTTGTGCTGTATTAACTACTAGTTTTTGTTTTTCTTTATTTATTTGGCCCTTATTTTATTATTTCCTCATGTTTCTGCATAAAAATCTATATTTCTTATTAAAATGTAAGCTGGATCAAGTTTTTTACCATACAAGCAAATTGTCTTAAAAAAAAACTATTATAAGTTCTTGTATGTAGTATTCTATTCACATCTATCATTTTTTGTTGCCTTCCTAGTGTTCGGTAATAATATATTAGTCTTTTAAGTTACTGTGAGAGCAGTTTAAGTGTGAATACTTTTTCAGGTAAAATATTTTATTCTTTAGACTTCTTGTTTTAAAAATTCATACTTGTTTTTAGCTTAAAGAAGCAATCTGGAATTGATTTTGAAGAAATGTTATTCTTTGATGATAGATTACGTAATATCCAGGATGTCAGTGCTCTTGGTGTAGTGTCTGTTTTTGTAAGAAACGGTGTAAATAAATTAGTGATAGAAGAAGGAAAACAACAGTTTGCAGCATGTTTAAAAACATCTGTAGTGAATAATCACAACAGTATATAAGACAAATAAAAAATGTGATATTTATGTAATAAATTGTATAAAGTATGTAAGTAATGTGAAAAGTAACAAAATAAATCTATTTTCATAGAATTTCTGTTTGTTTTTAGTTTATTCATATAATTATGAATTATTAGAATTTTAGCTACCCCTAGACTCTTTTTATGCATTTCTTCTGCATTAAATTTCTATATATTTTGTATTCACCAATATGTATCCATGTAACATCATCAGACACAGTCTGATATTGAAAATAAAAACGGAAGTGTTAATATAAGTCTGTAATCTGACCTATCATGACATAATATACTGCAGAAACAAGACCAGACACAAGCACTACAAGAAGATACAAATGAAATGAGGATCCCAAAGTGGACATCTAGATATTAACACCTTCGCTGTGCCACCAGTTGAAAAAGACTGGTAACTATTTTTGCAGAAATTACTGCTAAGAATAAATACATGTATTTCCATCTGGAGAGTACCATACAAACAAAATGTGTTGGTAAAAACTAACGATATAGATACCTATATGATCTGATAGAGATCTATCTAAGAGAGGGATAATTTAGTACCAGTTGTATTCGACTGGTAATGCATATAAGTTATTTATTTTTCATTGTTGGATTCCCAGATCATTCCCTCATCATCTGAGTAATTTCATTTGTTACCAGTTTAGTTTAGTTATCTCAGTCTAGCCACAATGTATAAATTTTAAAACTTATACTTACTAATATTTAGCATTTGTTATTTTTGTAATATGTATTTTGTTCTCAATAAAAGTTTTTGTTTTATTTTACTTGAAAATATTATGCACTTTTCATAATCGCAGCGAAAGTGTTAATGAATGTGTGCAAGAAAGAAAAAGCGAATGGAACAGTCATATCATTAAAATGGTATAGAGCAGTATTTAGATTAGCCCAGGATAAATTGTCTAGAAGAAGTAGGTAACACCAGTGGTACATGAAAGATTTTTGTTTGAAGTAGTCTACGACAGTTGCTGATATTTTGACATTTGTTGATTATTTTAAATAATTGTCAGTTAGATTCATGTTATTTATTTATATTCAGTTATTAAAAAAATTGTACTTTCAATATTTCTAGAGATTGTTTGTTAAAAAGTGGTAGGTCTATAAAATTTTCTCCTTACAAAATTGCTTAAAATAATAAAAAATGTTTATGGTAACTGTAGTTGGCAGCTTAAAAATAAACATATAATAGACAAGTGAAAAATAGAAAAAATAATATATGTAAAATCTTATAAACAATCTAGAACTTGGAGATAGTAGTAGTTGAAATACAACAAAACAAATCATGATATATCATTTAAAATATTTATTAATTTTTGAGTAAAAAAATATCAAGTTTTTTTTAAATAGTATAATTTAAAAAGTTCCATTACGAAAATTTCTTCAAGAGATTGCTCATGATGGCATTTCTTTGATATATTACTTCCCTCCTGCAAAAGAAAGATAATATCCTTGGACATTCATATTTTACAGTTTCTTCACAAGTTGCTCCTTTTGTTGTGTTATGAGAAAATTTGAATTCACTCTCTGCATTCACTACAAAAAAGTATTAGTAAAAGTTTTATAATAACAGATGAGACACGACAACAAATGATTATATTTCCTTAGCAATAACTACTTGTTACTTACTTTTATTCAAGTTATTTGTATTTACAAGGAAAAAGGGACAACAGATTACAAAATTTGTGGTGTGGCTTCAATTTGAAACTAGAAGTACTTTGTTACATATACTTACAGCAATATAATCCTTGAAACAAGCAAGTGATATGAACAGAATTTATATAGTATAAATCTTTCTTGGGAGATGCCTTTATATTAAAATGTGCAACAGCTTTGTTAGGCAGATATGGCCAATGTGATAAATTTTCCAGGTACTCAGCTGTGTATTTCCAATGTTCATAGTTGCCACTTTCTTCTAGGATGTTAAAATCTACACTAAAAATATTATATATAAATATTTGAACTAATAAAAAATCCCAAAACAAACTATTTAGGCACTTGATTATATTTATCAAATACTACTTACATTGTTGGATTCAAGTACTTCATGTTGCTGAAGTCCGCTACAAACTCCCATGGCTTGTTTGGATGTACTTTGGGTAAAAATACAAAAGCTGTGTGTTCATAAGTTTGTGTTTTTATAATAAAATACAAAACCACCAAGCTCACAGCTACAGTCAAGGATCTATACTTTTTCCAATATATTCTAGCCATTCTACAGAAGAATGCTGGCTATTTCGAATACAAAAATAATAAAATTCATTCAATATTCTGTAATGAAATTAGAATTTAAAATGAAGTTACTGGTAATACATTTTAATACCAAATTATAGTATCATCTCTGGAATTATAATATTCTAAACATATCAGTAAAGTAGTGCAAAGATGTTCAAAAAATCGGAAATTGCTTATCTAATAATAGAAATAGATCAGGATGTACAAAGATAAACAAATTTTAAAATTTTGTTTATGTAGGCGTGTACATTCAACCAATGAACTGTAATCACAAATCACGGCACATACCACACAGAGTGTGCTGTGCTGTGACAGCATACACTTTATTCTGTGCTATGACATACTTTGATCACAGAATATTTATTATTCTGTGCTTTGATAGTAATCATAGATCATAAAAAATTTTTTAACCTCATTAAAATTTAGTGACCTTCTTCTTTTTCTTTACTAGTGTTATGTTAGTATTTACCAAGGTTATTAAAAATAGACAGGTCGTCTGGTAACTTTACACCAAACAGCGTCTAGAATCTAACGGCGGGAATAACGTCACTGAGAATGCTACATTCAAATTCATTCACTTTACTCCTTGAAATGAACTCGAAAAGCAACAATAATTGTAAATATATTAATCTATTCATATCGAAAAAAATACGTTTGGACTTTTAATAACTATTTATTTCATTCAATCTTTAAAACATGTGGGAGATAAGTACCTGCAGAGTTACAGAAATCATAAAATATTATTGCAGCTAAACATATGTAGTAGAATAGCATTACTATATTGTGTCCACTATACTATATTATAGTAGATTATTATAAATTCCTCCAAACAAGTCAACCATGCTGAAAAAGAGATTCAACTTAAGATTTATATATCAGAATTAGTAGTTTTTCCCTTAACTTCAATATAGGTATTTAATAATAATAAAAAATATTAAAACATGATTTCATTAAATAAATATCTTTTAAGTTGTACATAATTAACAGTAAATTATAAAAATCAAAATCAGTGAATTAACACATTTTTACTAAACATTTAAATGACTATACCCACTTACCATCTTTTTTCAGCTGTTTAGGTTGTGTGCTGTTTAATAGTTTAGCTTTTAAAGCATTCTCATAATCTTCCATGCGAAAGTGTATACTACAAACTCTTTAATTACTATTAAACTGGGAATAAGCCACAATTAAAGATAAAAATACGTTTATTGACGTTTCAATTTCCACTTCGGAAATCGTTCTCAAAATACAAACGGTTTGTATTTTTGCTAGATATATCTTTATATCTTTTGATAATAGAGGTAAGGCTTTTCTTACTGTAGTAGGTACCTGAAACGAAAAGCTCTAGATATTTCTTCTGTAGTCCAACAAACTCTCTTCTTTCAGAGAGAAGAGAATAATGACCGGTCAATAAAAGTGGTAGATTTTATTGATCTTATGAGAATCGTAATAAATGGCAAAAATCACATAACCTTTATTTAATTTAACAGCTTTATAGAAACTGACTTCATTTGCGACAAAAAACAAAAATTTCATACGAAAGCTGCACTCTTTATCTTTAAAATGCACTTTGATTTTTGTCGGTAGTACAATGATCAAAATACATCGAATTTCGATTTTTTACCGTTCGTACAAATTTTATTTAAAAAATTACTTTTGTGCGCGTAATTGACATTCAAAATCACCGTAGCCTCAAGCGTTGTTTCTGAGAGAACTGTTCATTCTACACAAAAATGCTTAAAAACATTTTTGTTCAAAATAATCTCTACATTTCTTATAATAGTATAATTTCAATTTATAGAAGTTGAATGGCATTTTCGTCTCTGATGACTGGATTGTCTTTTTCTAAAAATTTACTCTAGTGTTAGCTGGTTCATTATCACTGTACTTATTTCTTATTTTCTCAATTCATGAGACATCTTTAACTCTTCGGAGATATTTTATTTTTACTACTTGGTTTTTACTTTATTTTGTTATAGTTCAGGATTCACATCAAACACGTTAGTACTCCGTGACCCCAAATCACAAAAGTGTCATCAACGTATCTAAACCATACCGTTGGCTTGTATGCTGAGTCCAAGCCTACAAGGAAAATCAAGGATTGTTTAAAATCGGTGAAGGACAAACGCGACCCATTAGCAACGGCCGGAGTATACCGAATACCATGCACATGTGGAATGGTATATGTTTGAACCACAAAACGACTCACAAACACAAGGATAAATGAACATAAAAGCCATTGTCGTTTAGGACATATCGACAAATCTGCCGTTGCCGAACACGCTTTGGGAAGCGGAGAACATCGGATACTGTTTGAAGAAACACAGATGCTGGACAAAACTTCACAGTACTACCCACGGTTGTATCGGGAAGCGGTGGAAATATATAAGCACCCAAATAATTTTAACCAGATAGAAGAAGGACTGAAAATTAACAAGACATGGATACCAATATTAAAATCCACAAACGCCCTTCCCACCAAACACGAAGAAAGAAAAGCTACTACAAACAACGACACGCCCCCTCAAGCCGAACCAGTGGAGGGGAGGCGAGTGGAAAATATAAATATTGCCTCCGTAGTACAATGCAGTGTCAGTTTCTGCTTACAAGCGAAGCATTAACATCTCCAGAAGATGCCAACCTCTAGTGTTGGCGAAACGTCGAGAACTAACCTCAGAAGACAACAGCCTAATAGCCCGAACAAACAGTTTAACAAGTTAGATGATGGCCGTGAAAGCCTAACGCACTTTATCAAACACATTAGTGTTATTCTAGTATAAAGACATTTATTTTTGTTCGCTTTGGCAATTTTTATTTATTAAAGCCTTGTTCATTACATGGTATAATTTTATTTACTTTATTTTATTGCACTGTCTACTTTTTACAAATTTGTTACATTGATTTGTGCATTTCTTCACAAGATTCACATTCTTTTAATGTAAAATGCTACTTTTGAGACTTCTGTTCTTTGTAAATGTATATGTCTGAGGAATAGTTTTTTCACGTGTTTTGAACATTGCTTTATTATTTTATGCATACATATTTTGATGTGAATAATGAATGAGTGTCAACATTAGCCATTTTGAATATTTTGTGAAGTAACTCTGAACAGTATAATTTAGAATAATAATATTAAGTTTTTATCATTTCATAATTCACTACTATCCCGACTATATAAATTTTATAATAATTAAATTAATTTTAAGGACATCAATTGTTTATCACTTTTATTCATCAAAATCATTTTTAGCATTTTTATCAACCACAATAAAATTTCCTAAATTATTTTTCATCCATGATATCCATAGCTCATCCACTAGTTTGCTGTAAGTAACCTCTTTAAAAACATCACTCCTACTAACTTCTACAAAGCCCATTTCATGGAACATCTTCATACTAATATCATTGTCATATAATATTTTTACAATATATTGTTTCACTCCTAAATATTGTATGCCATACATAAACATAAGTAGCATAGTTTCCCATCCACACTTTCTACCTCTGGCCCATTCTTCTGCTATCATTATTTCAGCCTCAGCACATATTCTGTCATCTGCATTGGCAAAAAATAAATTTGTGTCCCCAATCATTGAATCTACAATACAAAATATGAAGTAGATACAAAATTTTCAAACATTGTTCCATAATTATAAATTATACATACATATTTCATTTTGTGTTTCTTCATATTTCTGTTTATCAAGTACTATGAATGTTAATTCTGAAAAGATGGAATATGTTCAATTTTTTTCTATATATAAATTGTTTGCTACTTAACTATTTTCATCCATAAGCCATGATTTTTGCATTTCATATTCCTCTTCTAAAGTTAAAGGCTCCGATCCAGTTAAATGTTGCAGGTTTTCTGATTTCATCCATAAGTGATACCTGAAATATAGGTTAATAAAAGTGACAAAGCTTTTTCTTTATAATGCTTACTTTAAAACGTGTTCTTTTTTATAAGGTATTAATATTACTCTTTGGCATTGTATGGTGGTGTCTTTGTTTATTAACATTTTTTCTAATTAACAATATTTATTATTTATTTACAGAAAAAGTATGGTTATATTTACATATCTTCTTCTTCCTTTATTCTATTTACATATCTCTGCCACTGTCTACTACTGCTTCTACTTTGGATAATTTATGTCAGTCAGTTCGTCAGTTGTCGTTGTCAGTTGCATGCCAGTTGTCATAACATGCTTTTAACTTTTTAAGTTTATCTTGGTAAATAATTGTAAACTTTTTTAATCATTAATAGAAAAATAAAATTTAATTAAACATGGGACGACGTGCTATTAATACCACTAAAAGTGGTAAATACATGAATCCTACAGATCAAGCAAGTAAGTATATTTGCTCTTATGCTTTGTAACTTTATTAAACTTGTGGGATTTTAGGAAAAGAGGCTAGGAAGCTAGAATTAAAGAAAAATAAAAAGCAGCGACAGATGGTAAGAGCAGCTGTACTGAAAGGAAAAGATCCCCAACAAATTTTAGAAGAAATGGAAAAGATAGATCAAATGGGTTAGTTGTTATACATATAAATCATACTTATAGGCTCAAAGGTTTTACAATAATTCCTCGATTTTTCAGAGTTCAATGTAAACCAGCCGTCGCCTCTGAATGAAAAAGTATTAAAGGATAAGAGAAAAAAGCTTAGAGATACATTAGATAGAGTTCTTAGTATGTATGTAAGTATTGAGTTAATATATTTAAGACCTTATCATTATTTATAACTATTTCAGTATAAAGATGATCCCGAAAAGTGGGTTGATTTGAAAAGGCGACAGACAGAATATGAACAAAAGAAAAACCAACTAGTAGTCTTTTATGAGTCAGTCAAAAGTGCTCAGCAAGTTACAGTAGATGAGATCCCATTACCTCAACTGCCACAAAAAATTACAACTATCACAAACACACCTGCACAGATCCCATTACCTGCAGTAGAGAGAAAACAGGAGCATACCATATATTCTATTGCCACAGCACTAAAATTGCAGTCATTGGTAAGTTAATTTTTTATCGCAAAATATATTTTGCTGATATTATGATATGAATTTAGGGTCAGCCAGTAAGAGAACCCCCTGGTTGTCCACCTGGTCCACCTCCTGAAATAAATGATGAAGGAGAAGTAGAAGAATTTGGTACTAAGATTCAAGAAGAAATTAAAGATGCAGAGAAAAAAGATCTAGACTCAGAAGAAACTTCCCCTGCTAAACCTACATCTTTGCAACAAAAAATGGTGGCTCTATCAGGTCAAAATGTTGATGAGTTTATGAAAGAAATGGAAACTGTACAGAAAAAGGTTGATATACATCGTATTGATGAGCAAAGGGCAAAATTGACTGTTAATATAGAGCCATTAGTACCACCAGGTAAATTTTCTTTATGTATTTGTGTGTTTTTACTCCAATATCATTGATACATAGTCTATCAATAAGATTTTATACTACAGTTATTGTCCTATTTAATTCTTTGATTTTTGTAAATGTTCAAATTTGTGTTATTGTTGTCAGAAAGCCTAAAAATGTTTGACATATGTAAATTAACAAATGAAAAGACTGATATGCTTTTGTACAAACTTATGGCACAGAATAATAAACAATTAGAATGCCCACTCTCCATGGAAAATTAAGTACGCGCATCTCGTTCGTGTAGATGTTTTGCTATGTTTTAAAGGGAACCAGTGTTGTTTATGTGGTGTGCATAGAAAAATTAACCCGGTTTAATTGACTTACGGTAATCATAGACATGCTATACAATTACATTAACATTGTTAAATATAATAACATAAATATAGTACACATAAATATAAACAATTACATAACCTCACAAATCGTATGTCTGTGTTATGTGTTTCCTTCTAAAACATGCCATGCTTGCTAAAAAAATTCAAAGGCGGCATCTGAGAGTGGGCATTCTGATTATTTTATGCTTATGGCAAATCAAGAAATGGAAAAAGGAAGTGTGTAAACATTTCATTCCCAGCTGAGCACTTTCGGCTTACAAAGCCATGTTCAAAGTTATGCTGCAATAGAACAATGATATAAATTACTAATTTAAAGTTCATTTGGTAAAAAATTACAGAAAATATTCTTACAGTATACTCCCTCTATAACGAACAGAGTTATTACTAGGTTTCGCTTATAACGTGGTACATTAGATATCCCATAAAATTTCTATTGAACTATAACCCTCTATAGCGAGGCAAATTTGGTTATAACTAGAGAAAATAAGATCGAAAAATGTGTTTCTTTTTATATTTTGGCCCAGCCGTGGCTTTAAATAAATATCCTTTTTAACTGCCGCCTGCAATAGACTTAACTGCCGCCCTCAATAAACTTCTTTACAATAAATACAACTGTTTCACATCTTAGAAAATATGATAGATAGAATGATACTGGACAATAGTTTATGTTATCCTTGAAAATACGCTTTATACATTATGTAGTGGGAAAAAAATTTAAGTAAAGATTTTTTGTTTTAACCTATATCATTGACAATAAAAGTAAACAATTTTTTTTAAAACGCCATTCAAACAATATTTAGCAACTTATATTGCTCCAAATGGCTTCACTATAGGAAGTTAATGATTTAGAAAACTACAAATTTATATGTATTCACAGTAATATTGTTGTCTGATATAACAAGATCGGCTTATAACAAGGTAATTAGTCTGCCATTTCAGTTCTCATTATAGAGGGAGTCTACTGTATTAGGCTGGTTCTATTAATCTTTCATTAAAAAAAAGACTATATGCTGGACTTCAAAAACACATTAAAAAATTTGGTTGTGGTACAGGTGTCAGAACCCAACCATTTATTGTTGAAAGTTGAAGCAGCAGATAGAATGATGAAAACCGAATGTCAGACTTTTAAGGCCGGACCTAATTATTAGACCCTCTAAGGTCAGCCTTAATTTATCTGGACAATATTTACATCTTATGCATTATACATGACCATAATATAAATGATAAAAAATTCTTTAATTCATAAAGTTTTATATAATATATTCTTTTCTTTCCCTACTATATGTTTTTGATCAACTTTAATATTTTTTTTCAGGTACAGAAATGCCCAGTCTACCATCTCAAGCACCTGCTGTACCTCCACATATATTCCCTGGTAACATAAGACTGCCTCCAGGTCCACCTCCAGGAAGACTTATGCCCCCAGGTCCTCCACCAGGTCTACCACCTAGATTACCAATTAGATTGCCCCAAGTATCAACAAGGATGATAAGAATGACACCACCACAGCTTATCCAGCCTGTATTATCTGCAGCTCCACAGTTAATCAATAGGTATAGTACATTTTGGGCCCTATTTGTTTTGTTTGATAAAATTGTTGTGTTCTGAATCTCTGGAAGATCCATTTCTTTCTAACTTTTTTAAGAGTAAACCAAACATAAAAAATAAATTCTATATTTTAATTTAATTTTAAAATAATTATGTGCATCTTGTTTTAGGTCTGATTCTGTGAAGCAAGGAGTAACAATTTCTGCCAAACCTCAAATAAGAAATCTCAGTGCAGATGTCACCAGATTTGTCCCATCTGCTCTAAGGGTCAAACGGGAAGATAAGAAACTTGTCAAAAACCCCAGTGCTTTTGCTAGAGAAATGAAACAGAAGGAATTTACTATGCACCAGAATGCACTTGCAGGTCATACCAAAGATGATGCTTATAAGCAGTTCATGCAAGAGATGGAAAACTTATTGTAGGTTTTATTTGGAAATGTATATTATAGAATTGATTTTAAATATTAAATATAAAATAGTTGTTGGATTTGTTTTAATTTTGAGACATTTTTAACAGTACACTATGACTTAACGACCAGACTAGAGTCAAAGTATTTACTCATTATTTAGTAATTACATGAAATTATAAACTGTAGTCCAAAGAGCCTATACAACATGTGATAAAATATTCATAAAACTAGAATAATTTACAGATCTTGTAGTGTATCCCTCACTTAAAAATTTACTCTTTGAACTGCAGTTTAACTATAGAATTATTTGTGTTAAGATACGATTACAACAACTACTGCAGGAAGCACACAGCAACTGCAGATGGCAGTTGCTGCTGCAGCAGCATTTGCTGTCGTATTGATTCCGTAAGTCAGCAGCAGCTACTTCAGTTATGTGATGGTATAAGACAGTTGAGGTTGTATATTAAATAAAAAGATATGAATTATGAAATGCTACAAGTTTTACTTCAAGAAGAAGAAAATGATGATTTGTTATTGTTTTATTACTTTAGGAGAAATCCTACACAACCATTGTATTTAACTAGACTAGAAGAAGGCTCTTATGAAACATTGATCAAAAGACATTTAAATTATAGTGAAGCGAATTTCAGAAGTTATTGCCGTTTAAATAAAGACCAGTTTAATTTTATGATGTCTGTAGTTTAAGAGGATCTTACGCCAAAAACAAGGAGAAGGAAAATATCACCAGCAGAAAAATTATTCCTAACTTTAAGGTAAGCTAATTTAATTTAGTTCTTAATAATAGTAATTATAATACTAATAATAACAACAATATCTAATCTATCTAAATCTAATCTATAATAATAAACAATATTCTTAAACTAATTTTCTAGAAATTGAAAGAAATTCTCAATTTTCTTCTCTATCTGAGTGTTGTTGACGATTTATTGAAGGCAGATCTTCATTTTGTTTATATGTCATATCGGTTGAATCTGAATAACTACCAGTTGACGATATAACATTGAAAATTGTGTACTGAGTGTTATCAGATACATTTATCGCGGCGTTATGTGAAGCATTGTTCTCTGCTACCAGTATTTCAAATTTTGTGAGAACTTAAAGTAGCTCCTGTTTTGCTTTTATTTGAATCACTTTTGTTGGAAGTTTTCGTAAAACTTGTTCGATATGGTTAGCAAACGATTTAAATTCATCACAATTTTGCGATGCATTTGTCATTGCCGAAAGGCGTGACTTCTCCCGTTATCTCATATATGATAGAATGTTTTCTTTATTATTATGACGTTTTTTATTGCTAGTTGCTGGTCAGCTTTGACAGAAAGAGTATGTACATAACTTTCAGTACTAATGCTAGCATTTGCTAGTTGAGTATTATATTCAGAATGCGTTGCAGGAGCCTCTTCTTGTGTACTATTGTGTGCTGAGTCTGCAAGTTCTTCAACACTGTTTTGTGATGACTCCGTGTCATCACATGATGGACATTGTCTAGGAATGATAATAGCCTATATATTTGCCATTTACCGCGATTACTTTGAGGTGATGTGATTCAGTAGGTAGTTTATTTTTGCGTTTAAATCGCATGTATCCATCACGCATAGTCTTTCACTGCTTTTTACAGCTTTCACTTGTAATATAAATAATAAGTGTTATTTGTTTTTCATTATTTCATATGTGGTTATTATGTTTCAGATTCATGTCAACAGGAGAAAGTTTTTGCTTCTCTATCATTTCAATATCGTATATCAAGGTCATATACATCAAAAATAGTTAAACAAGTAATTCGTGTTCTTTGAAAAAAAAAATGGTTCCAATTTGTATGTCTCCTCCTACTAAAAACGATACTTTAACTATAAAGAATACTTTTCGATAGTATTATTAGCAATAGTTGATTCGAGTTATAAATTTATAGCAATTGATGTGAGATCTTATGGTAAAGAAGGTGATAGCAATATATTTAAAAAGTCAGAAATGGGAGAGAAAATACAAAACTCTACATTTAATTTTCCTGAACCGAAAAATTTACCAGGAGAAAATAATATTGGACCACACTTTCTAGTGGATGATGGAGTTTTTGCTCTTGATACGGTTATGATGAAGCCATATTCTCAAAGACTCGCAAGACATGACAACCAGAAAGATATTTTTAACTACAGACTATCTCGTGCTCGGCGTGTAGTGGAAAACGCTTTAGGCTTGTTATCTCAAGTGTTTAGAATAATTTATGTACCAATACCGATTTTGCCTGAAACTTGTAACGACTAAAGGTCGATTCAGACACATCAGTCACGTCTCGTCACCATCTCGTCACAGTGATTGCGCCGAATCGAACAATCCGTCATACAAAATATTCTTTAATACAAATATGGCGCCGGCATTCACACTCATCAGTTGACGAACAGTTTGCCAGCTGTCAGATAGTTGATAGTTCTGTGACCAAACAGGACCGGTTCGGTACCGTGACTGTGACGTGACTGATGTGTCTGAATCGACCTTTAATAGTGTCTACCTGTTGCTTGCACAACATGCTACGAGAAGGTTATCTTGAACAACAACAGATTCCTACTTATCACCGGAATGAAGAAGATATACCGTCTGATAATATGATTTGAATTGGCAAGTACTAGTGGTTTTGTTAATGCCGGAGGCCTAACTATTCGACACACATTAAAAGAATATTTTTGTTCCAAAGTAGGTGAAGTATCTTGGCAGAGGTATCGTAAATTGTACCTAATAGAAATTAGTTTATAAAAAATAAACGTAATGAGTATACTTACTGATTTTATTCACTTTTTCGGCGATCTCTTTGCAGTCGAATAAACATTGATATTTAGAGACTAAATCAATACAATAATCATTTTCTTCGTTTGTCAACACTTCCATCACGTCCAACTTCACAACGGCACTAACAGCAGTAGCAGTACTGTACTGCATTGTACTGTGTTTGTTGAAGTGTGTTGTCTGCTGTCGCGCGGCACATCATCTGACAGATGTCGAAATCGCTTTCATACAAATTAATACTGCAAAGTAATGGCGGTGGCGGCAACTATAATTGCCATGTGTAGTCGTTGTTCCTTAATAATGCTATAATATATAATTCCTCTTTGAAGGAAATACACCAAGAAAATATAATAGTGCCATTATGGTAATATTGCATAAAAAAAGGAGATGTAACAGAAATTGGAAACTATACACCTATCATAGCTGCGAAATATTCGAGACTGGACAAACATGACTGTAGACGAATTATTCCACGTTGCAAAAGACAAAAAAACTTTTAGAAATGTGGTCGCCAACCTCCGTGAATGGGGACGGCATAGGAAGAAGAAGAAGACCTATCAGCTTGTTATCTCATTTATATAAGCTCTTTATGAGAATAATTAGCACTAGACTGGGACCTAAGCTAGATATTCACCAACCTCTAGAGCCACCCAGATATAGGAGTGGTTTTGGAATTAATGACCAACTAAACGTAATAAAATCTTTGATAAAGTTACAGATTATAACAAGAAATTGATATTAATATTTGTAGACTTCGAGAAAGCATTTGACTAAGTCCACCATAGCTCCATCTTAACAGCTCTTACAGAGTGCAGTATTGATCATAGGTAGAAATGTTTCAAAATCTCGTGGACCTCGTAATGTGCATGCCCGAAAAAATAAATGGATCCTAAAAACATGCACCATTTTAATTTCGGAGGAAATTGGGCGACAGGGTAGGATTTGCACGTGCTAATGATGTCGAGTATTTCCAACAAACATGACATATTATGTTTCTCTAATCTGAAACATTCCAGTTAGTCATCGCATTTTTATTTTATCTCACACTGAAAGATGAAATAAAAATTTACGACTTCCCGTCTTCACTGCCGATAAGAATTGCTGTGTAAAAATGTAAAATATTTACATTGCACTAATTTGGCTTGTAAATAAACCTTTTAAGAACCGAAAAAAATGTAGGGGACAAATAAATAAATAACAAATTAATGTATGATAGAAAAATAATAGGGTTTTGGCTTTAAATTCAGCAAAACATGTTTTTTAATTCCTTGGGGAAAATATTCGCATGAGATTTTTTGCATAACTACTTTCATAAAAGACCGCAGAATATTGTTCAAGAGGTCGCCCATACAAAAAGTGGTTCGAATTTATTAAACAGTTTTGTATAAATCCATTTTTAGGTTGGAATAATACCCTCAAACAACTAAAAACAATGTTTTATAAGCCCAAACTAAAGTATCAGAAACTGATAGAATTTTTGGTGAAATCAAAAATAATTGTGTGTCTTTAAGCCACTTTTCGTTTTTTTTTCAGTTTTAGATTGTTTATAAGTTATAAAATAAAAACATAAAAAGCTATTTTACTAACGCAAAAACTAGTTCGTCTCTGTCTCGCTACGATAACGCACTGATGAGAACTGCATGGTTTTAGCAATGTCTGATTTTGTTGTTTCGTTCATAGATCGACGTCACTAAATGATTACGTCTGGTCCAGGACATTATGAATTATCTTTTTTTTACACAACTCTTCTTCGGAATATAATAAACACATATCGCGTGGAAAAAGGTATTAGGCAAGGAGACACCATCTCTCCTAAATTATTCATCGTTTTATTACAGAGTGCTGCGAGAAACAATAATTGGGAAAATATAGGAGTCAACATAAATCAACATAAATGGGGAGTTTCTCCTTATTACAGACCGGAAAGTTCATGCCTGCCAACTTCTTTAAGACATTCAGAGTTCTTGCACACGAGTTGGCCTTAAAATTGTTGATGCTGCATGAATTGGAAAAAAGAACAAAAATGAATACCGTTCATACAGAATTGTCCTTCGTAACCATCAGGACTTTCTGTCGATACAGAATACTCACAAACAGAAGAAATATTGACAGGTCATTAAAGATTTTTATCGATTCAGATCTCACCCCATACCAGAGAACTGTATTAAACACTATCAAGAGTGACCTTAAGGAAAAAGAGAAAAGGCGAACAAAACTTATTTATCAAGTACTTAAATTGGTGCTCCTAGAATAATGCTAAAAAACTAATAC